TCAACAGAGAAGGTAACCATGCAGGTAATCATTAACTACTGAGAGACAGGGAAAACTCTCAATATAATTCAGATGGAAAAGCTAATAGTGGACCGTTGTCACAGTTACCATACAAATCAACGAAATACTGCGCTTAGCAATGTACCAGCTAAACTGGGCAAGCCACCTTGATGACCTTTGTGTGGGAGGGTGTTTTAAGAGACTAACCGAGTTGAAATCATTGAGCAATGTGGACAGAAGTTGTAAGGCAAGCATGCTTTGATTGTCGCCATTCTGGAACGAAACAAATACTGGTAAAAAAAGACGGCTCATTTACATTTACAAGAATCTGGCTTGACATCAATATAAACTTATTCGAAGAATTGCATTAAACTCAACTTTGGTTCGCTTTAAAATGGCTACTCAGATCCGAATGGAATGGATTAGGAAAAGATGAATGTATTAAGGATAAGCAGGAAAAAAACTAACGATGTCTATAGTAGCGATCAAGTCAGAAATTGGAGCATGGAACACATGTTGGTCGTTGCTATCCGTATATGTCCATTCCTGTTTGGTGATTCTTGCGAAGAGCTGGCATAAGGAAGAAACAATAAACGGTGGAAGAGAGGATGAACGTGTTCCGAGCAGATTCAAGATATATCTACCTGTAAAAAGATGAGTAAGCGCTGGCTTTCACAGTACTCTACTCTTGAACATGGAACTCTTTCAACAAACGTCCTCAGATTTCTACTTCAATGAAAGATCCGTTTCGACATGAACATAATTCCCGAATGATTCCCCATACTTCATGACCTTTTGCGAGCGCTATCCAAGAATCTATGCATCCTCTCTGAACTGTTGGGCGTTCTCTTGTGAAAATGAGACCTCGGACTATGACAACGACCGAACACTGGTTGTTGTCCCTTGGCTCTCTGCGATTCCTACTGTGTTCACAAAGAATACGTACCCCTCCTGATGGGACATTGTGCGATGGTCACATAGCGCCGCGAGAAAGACAAATACACATGAACTCTAAAGATGTGGTCAGCCAAGGAAACTCACTCAATTCGAGCTTCTGTTCGACGAGTATACCGGTTTTTGAGTTCAAAAGTTTCATCAGAGTGTTACTGGCAACCACAGGACCGTACGGCAACTGAACAAATATGAAATTGAACATAAAATTAGCATGCAAGCCACTTGGACTTACGGTCAAAGCCAATCACATACATCGCCTCGTTCCAGTAGAAGCATACATCGTCGAAGACATTGTGGTGAATCAACAAGTTCGGCGAGATTCTGCTCTGCTCGAGCTCTGGTTGCCGGATCTATGCTTTCACCAAGCTCCTTACAGAGCCGGTTTAGAACCTGGAATCAAAGAGAATATCGAGTTTGACCAAAACAAAGTGAATTATGAAGCAACTAACGACAACAACCTGTACTCACCTCAAGCTCTTCCATCGTCCAAGCAGAATCTCTTTGTTATAAGGATCGTGCGACAACTGGAAAGCGCTGAATCGACTGATCGAATCACCAAGACAAATTCTAGACTAACATTTCACGAATCGATTTTACATCCGCTAATCCGCATTTTTTTCAGACTAATTGCGGAAATAAGTAGCAATTCGAGCAATAAAGCACATGAGAAGCTCACAAACACACTAATGACATCAAAATCTGTTCATAAGAAAGGAAATTTCATGAAATCGATCAAAAAACAATGAGAAAACCCGATGAGCAGCCACCATCTCCTGACGTCTTTGTCCACCTCACAGCGAGAGCGCAGAGGGTCTAGCAAGTGGTCAGAGACGCAGAGCGGTCATCGCTGCCCTTCTGCAGGACAGGGTTGCGCCATGTCTCTGCGGTCGAACTTTGAACGTGGAAAGGTTCGCAATGTACTTTCTGGTCCTACAGCAACTAACTGGGTCGAGGCGGAAATGGGACCTTCATTAAACATGAGTAATTGAGTTGACTGTAGCGCTATAAATAGCTATGAATAAATGTTCAATGACTTCTTTCGAAGTAAAAGCCCTTCCTGAGTAAAATCTCTAACACTCCCTAAGATAAGGTATAAAAACTAAGCGATGAAGGGCACATAACCATAAGAATTATTGAAAGGGCTCTAAAAGAGCTCATTCAGAAGAAATTTCCACAAGTTCCTACTTTTCCCTGAGTTCTGAGTCCACCAATTCTGGGCAAAGCATCTATCAGCTCTTTGGATGATGTTGAATTCTTGTGATGTTTGTTGGGTTGTGGGGAAAGTATCTGCTGATTATTCAAAACGTCTGGGTTTTCTGGAACCTTCCATAGAAATACTGTAAAAGTGCGTTACTCTTTTGTATGCCAATAACATATCAGGAAGATACATGAAATAGCAATCGGTTGACCGGATCGAAAACTATCCTCGACTTTTTTGTTTCAGACAGAGAACGAGGGTGCACAGAACTGCTCAGCAAAGGCTCCAAGGCCAAAGGCCTGACACAGGAGTTCCATTGGTTTCCACCAGCGAAGCAACCCGGCTTGAACTNAAGGACGAGGTAGCCCGATACGTTATGTTATGTGGTAGTGTCCTTGCACAGAAGCTCCGTGGAAGTTCCACCTACTTACCTTTCTCTTGAGACGGAAAACTGCGAAAACAGTTCCGAATACTAGGTGATAATCAGGATCTCCATTAATTACCATGTCGTGGTGGAACCTTCTATAAAAATCTTCAAAGATAAAGCCTTGGAGCGCTAATCTATCCTGTCAGAAGAAAGCGCCCACGCATTCGACCTCCATTCAGAATCCTGGTGGCGTAATGATGCGTATGTGGCCTATACAATGAATTGTGTTTTTCAGCCGAAGTACAAGTCAGTTTTTCCATCCTCTCAGATGATTTTGGTACCAATTAACCTGCCCCGGAAGGATGGAAGGACTAGTTGGTCTAGGCAGATATCGATCCGGCATTCGAACCCGTGACCATGCGTGTATGATGTGCACCACTTGTCATTACACCAACTCCGCACGGAATTCGATTATATCAGTCATTTGAATACCTTCAAAAAGAGATTACTTGAAGTGCAGAATTGAATAAATGACTGCAATTGACAGCTCTCTTCAGGATGTCTTCAGTTTTTCTTCACAGCCCTTGATTGCCTAAGGCCATTGAATCCTTAAACCGTAGAAGTCATCAATCACTTGAAGAAAAAGGAATTGTCTTCAATTATTTTGCAATTTCAATGGGCCTTCCTTTTTCCGAGTTTCCTATTAAACCTGGTAAGCTCTTTAGTATGCAAAAATAATCCCTGTCCTATGTTATTTCTGATTTCGTATACTAATTTATTTATGTTCGAGTGAAGATGGTGTATTGGCAAGTGGCGCGCTGTCGCTCAACCAGGGGCTCGGGGATCGAATCCCAAATTGATGATTGCCAACTTCCCAGTTTCTGGGGATGGTTGATTGGTACCAGGCTCGTATGGGAGATAAAAACTTTGACTTGTATATCGGCTGGCCACCGCAAGTCATTGTATAGGCAACACACGCATTCAAACAGCCATTACGATTATGAATGCAAGCCGAATGCGAGGGGTATCCTAAGAGCCAGATTGGTCAACGTAAAGACTTTATTCTTTCATCCTTCACCTCTTCACTATACTTTCTATTATATTCATTTCGCTTTATCTCTTTATCTACATTGCCTTGAAGCTCGGCGAATTCAGGAATCACTATTTTTGAACTGGATTGAAGTCACATCGTCCCGAATTCGACCTCTTCTGAAAAGAGAAAAAAGAAAGTCAAATTTCAAGAAAAAATATGGGGCAAGTAGGTATGTCTATCATATTTATTTTTCCTCTGTGGGTATTTTGTTGTTGAGCGGAATTTTTTTTGGAAAACCTTCAGTATATTTGCATTTGTTTGTTCATTATTTATTTGCTTGTTTACTAGCGATTTTGTGATTACCAAGAGCTTACTCGATCAACGCAGCGTGTAGTACGGCTGAAACCCAGTCCACTACTTTAGTGTTTATTCAATCCACCTAAGATAGAGATGGAACCACCTTAGCATGAAGTAAAATTGGAAAATTCGATTTTTCATGAAATAAATCAGCATTAAAGGGGACAATTGTGGAAATTGGTGACGACGGAAAATCCATTCGAAGAATTCGTCGGCGATTTTCAATTAAACTGCCTCATATCGGCCCTGCATTATCTCCTTTCTTCGTCTTGCACTTTGAAGAGTTCGCTTCAGATTCAGAAATCGAGCTAATTGATTGTGCTTCTTATTCTTCCATGCAAGTACTAATTAAATTATTACTACTGCAATTGAAACCTTCCATATGGCCTTATAGAGCCCCACCTTGCTGCTTGGTACTGATAGCCACGGAATTAAGTCAGTCCGGAACGGGTAACCCAAACATTGTCAACAGTGAGCAATGATAGGGGGAGATTCAAGTTTTCACCCCAAAAAACAGAAGACGTGAGTCAGATCGTAATCCAACGTAAAGGCCATCGGGCTCAGCGCAAAGCAGCCAGAAGTGGGAAGTCAGGGGAATACAAGCGCTCTTAATGAGAGAAGTTCCCATGAGGGTGAAATATCCCCCACTGTCTACCCTAACATGTAGCCTCACCTGCTCGATTCTACTTAAGTAAATGTAGTTACA